TCAGCCAAGGGTTCCAGAAGCAGGTGATGTGAAAGATCGCTTCCTGAGACCTGCCAATCAGTGGAGAGAATACTGGGCTAGAACGGACAAAGATTCTGATTTGAAACTGGGTAACTGCCAATGAATGGCCTCCCCAGAAACATTTTCATGCTCATTCTGGCAAAACGTTAAATCTGCTATTTGAAAGAGCTTTTAATGACAGGGAGCTCAGGGTCCTTCAGCTGTTGTTTATATTTGTTAGATGCTTGCTGGTGTTTATTGAGACCTAGTTATTTTTAATGTGTTTTAATTTCATTTAATATAAATGGTGTTTTAGATATTTATGTTAGCTGCCTTGTAGGCCGTCATGTGTAAGCCATAATGTGCGAAAGGCGAGCTGTAAATGTTCTAAATAAATTAAAAACCAATCTGACATGGCAACAACAAGAATTCCTTTATGCAAAATACTGGAGAGGATGGAAAGTGCCTACAAAGGAAGAACAGGAGAATTTAAGAAGTTCAGGTGTAAAGGTACCTTACCTTTTTACCTGTTGATGGGGCAGGACTCCCTTTACCCTGTGCAAAGGTGTTCATGCTAGAAATAAATTAAGAATGGCTTGGGAATTCCAACTGGTGTGAAGCCGGTTTGAGAAACAACACGTCAGTCAGCAGGATCCTGTAACACAGTACAGGATCTACCATATTTTTTGCTCACTTTTTCCCTCCTAAAAAGTAAGGGGGAATGTGTGCACATTTTATGGAGCGAATGCAGGCTGCGCAGCTATCACAGAAGCCAGAACAGCAAGAGGGAGTGCTGCTTTCACTGCACAGCGATCCCTCTTGCTGTTCTGGCTTCTGAGATTCAGATTTTTTTTTTCTTGTTTTCCTTCTCCAAAAACTAGGTGTGTCTTGTGGTCTGGTGCGTCTTATAGAGCGAAAAGTACGGTATATGCATTTTGGAGAACATGGCGTGAACATGGATTAAAAACTCAGCACAGTGAGTACACAATATATGGGAGTGTGAACACAACCGTAGTCTCTTCAGTATTACACCACATCAGTGCAAAGACATACAATTGAATGTGGCAACTCTCTACCCCACAGTCCAGAACAACTTTGAACACTTGTGGTTACACCTGGGATAAAGATGATCACTTGAAAATAGCTCAATGCTTGTTTTTCATTCCTGCATGATAAGCATGGTTTCAAATTAAAGGTAAATATGGACGATGTGGATTTTCATACAAAACTGGTTTCGCTTGAGTGCCCCCATTAACTTTTCCACCCTTTCCGCAGAAATGGCTTCTCTTGTTGATCTTTCACTTGCAACCTAGCTGAACAAGAGGGGGGTGGGGACTGGATTCTCTCTGGTAGATAGATGGCTGTCAGCAAAATGGCGGCTGCACATGGCTATCAGCAGTGGCCATGCCAAGATACACAGCTTCTCCAAACTATCACACGGGCTTCAAGAACAGAGAGCTGTCATGTGGGACAGAGGATATCAAATGTAAGAATCTAGATGCCTGCTGGGTGCTGACAGTGTGTATTTAGACTCCTGTGGGTTTCCTTACACAAATTCCACACATACAGGAGAAATAATAAACACCAAAAAGACCTATTAGAGAGTATACGTTTGGGCGGGTGGTATGGTGAACAATTTTGGGGGTGAGGTGAGTGAGATTAGGAGCTCTTTCAGATGACCTATTTGTTGAAGATTCATCATGATTAGCTTGTGCAACGTTTACAGGGGGGTTATATCATATCATATCTATCTATCTATATCTATCTATCTATCTATCTATCTATCTATCTATATCTATCTATCTATCTATCATCTATATCTATCATCTATCTATCTATCTGAACAATTTCCTTCTAAATCCATACATAAAATGAAATAAAAAAATAAAGAATTCTCCGCATTCTTGGACTTACTTCCTCCCCTCCGTGGAGTCCATTGGTAGTCCTTTTTCACTGCATATCATAACATTCTCTATTTGTCCATAAAACTCTAATTATATCCATAGTTCACTTCACATTGCAAGTGTTATGGTATTCCTGCCAATGTGTTTAGCTTCTTACAGTGTTCCAGTGTTCTCTCAAATAAGTTACAAATTTACCCCAGTCCTTTTTGAAGTTTTTCTCATCCTGGTTCTTGATTTTTCCAGTCAATTTGGCCATCTCAGCATAGTACATCAATTTTATTGTCTACTCTTCTCTTGTAGGAATCTTGTATTCCTTCCATCTCTGGGCTAGGAGTATCTGGGCTGCCATCGTCGTGTACATGAAAAGTCTTTTCTGCTCCCTTGGTATCTCGGTCCCTATAATTTCTAATAAAAAGGCTTCTGGTTTTTTAACAAAAGTTATTTTAAACATTTTTAAAAATTCATTATAAATCATTTCCCAATAGGCTTTTATCGCCTTGCAAGTCCACCACATATGATAAAAGGTGCAGAGGGGTTAGATTATAGCTGGTCTTCTTTGAGCATTCGTTCTGATTTGTTTGCTGGGGAAGAACAATGAATATTCATTGGAAAAGAGCTGGCCTCTGGAGTTGGCATTATTGGGCATCTGCTGAGGCTTGCGCTCCAAAAGGAGGAGTGCTGGTGCTTTTGTTGTTGTTGTTGTTTAGTCGTTTAGTCGTGTCCGACTCTTCATGACCCCATGGACCAGAGCACACCAGGCACTCCTGTCTTCCACTGCCTCCCGCAGTTTGGTCAAACTCATGTTAGTAGCTTTGAGAACACTGTCCAACCATCTCGTCCTCTGTCGTCCCCTTCTCCTTGTGCCCTCCATCTTTTCCAGGGAGTCTTCTCTTCTCATGATGTGGCCAAAGTACTGGAGCCTCAGCTTCAGGATCTGTCCTTCCAGTGAGCACTCAGGGCTGATTTCCTTAAGAATAGATAGGTTTGACCTTCTTACAGTCCATGTTGCTTAGTAAAGGTAAAGAGACCCCTGATCATCAGGTCCAGTCATGGCCGACTCTGGGGTTGCGGCACTCATCTCGCTTTATTGGCCGAGGGAGCCGGCGTACAGCTTCCGGGTCATGTGGCCAGCATGACTAAGCCGCTTCTGGCGAACCAGAGCAGCGCACGGAAATGCCGTTTACCTTCCCACTGGAGCGGTACCTATTTATCTACTTGCACTTGCTTTTGACGTGCTTTTGAACTGCTAGGTTGGCAGGAGCAGGGACTGAACAACGGGAGCTCACCCCGTCGCGGAGATTCAAACCGCTCACCTTCTGATCGGCAAGTCCTAGTCCTCTGTGGTTTAACCCACAGTGCCACCCCCTAAACCTGTTCTTCCTTGCTGTTGAAATCATAGAATTGTAGAGCTGGAGGAGACCCCAGGGGTCATCTAGTCCAGCCTCCTGCAATGCGATGCACTGCTGCTGTACAGCAGAGCAGAGACAAGAAAAAAGAGAATCACCACCCTCATTCATTTGTATGCCACTGTTCCATGGTAAACCGTGCTTAAAGCGGCTCACAACACCCAAGAGCTAAAGTAATTCCTCGCGATAGCCCTTTGCCCAACGGGGTCCCAAAATCTGAAGCCGACATGGCAGAGAAAGAAGCAACACAATCGTACACCTCTTCCAAATTGTTGGCAGCGCTGGCCGTAGTTTAATATTTCACCAAAAGAGCTGTTACATTACACAACTTAAATTGCGTTGTCCGTTTTCAGACAGAGAAAATAGTCCGAGGGGAGAGAAAGAACCCCTGGGAGGGCAAAGAAGGCGCGCGGATCGTGGAAATTGTTAAATTGATACAATATAGCCATGCCGGTTAAAGTGACAAAGAGGCAAAATAGAGGCTGTTATACATTTTACTGGACAAAAGCGGGCAAGACGTTCCTTAGAAAGCAGGAGGCGGCTTGCGGCTGATGTCTGAGCACATATGAAAAACCAAGGAAGGGAAATTAGCACTGCGATTAGTGTAGTCAGGTGAGAATAATACGCCTCTTGCACATGAAACCAGATGAGGTGTGTATTAAAACATTGCTTTCCCTCACCAGCCATAGCGGATTCAATAAAACTTCTTGTGCTCCCTGAGTCCCCATATTGAGTTTCTCAACGAGAACAATTAGAAGTCCGTGCAAAACTTAAGAGATGGGATTGTACTTCCTCATGAAAAAAATCCTCAACTTCTTCATTTGGATCAACAGGGTGATTGATGTGTGATGTACATAGCTGTCAACTTACAGATTTGAAAATAAGGGACCAGCAGCCTCAAAAATAAGGGATCAGCAGCCAAAATAAGGGATTTTCCAGACACAGGTATGTTCAACTTATGAGCCCCACCGAGCCAAAGGCAGAAAGCCCAGCCAGCAGCCAAACGAAGCCTCAAGTGGTGGTTCCCACAGCGCAGCAACCTGGCAAAGGGGATGCAGCAAGGAAAACCACCGTCACCTCTCCACTGGGAAGCGCTGAGCAAAGGCGAGTCCTCAGGCAACACGGCCAATTTGATCGGCACAAGGCATGCAAGCTCCACCCCCCAGTTGTTCTTAGAGTCCTTATTGGGTGAGCAACGCAGCCAAGCAACACAGTTGGAGCCTCCCTCCTCCCTGGCCAGCAGGGAGGGAGGGAGAGGAGCTGCTTCCTTTGAAACCTGGGAAATTTAAGGGACATCATCAATAAGGGACAGCAGCGGGACATAGCACTGGGATAAGGGACTTTCTCGCCAAATAAGGGACAGTTGACAGCTATGGATGTATTTGCATGGCCATTATCTCTAACCGAAATACACTTCCATATCCATCAGAAATTGTTGTTAGTGTAAAGGGTCTTCTACTGCCCCATTTTTTGGTTGAGGCCAGTGGTGCCTTCATTGGAGAAGACAGTCTGGTTTACCATATTTTGAAGTATTTGAAGTAATATATATTGTCATCTTCAGAGGGAATCCCATAAAATTCGAAGAATAAAACAACCTAACCACCCTGTGACCTTCAGTTGATTTTAATCAGCATCCTCAACGGCACCATTGGCTAAACCTAAAAGCTTGCCAAACTGTCCGTAGAGAATTATCAGTAGAAAAGCCAGGGGAGCTGTGTGTCTGGCTGTTAACCAGAAGGTTGGTGGTTCGAGCCCACCCAGGGACAGCTGTGGGAAGGATTCCTGCATTTCAAGGGGTTGGACTAGATGACCCTCAGGGTCCCTTCCAACTCTACCATTCTATGATTCTACACCAGGGATGGAGAAGCAATAGTCCTCCAGATGTTGCTACTCTCTACTCCTGATGTAGGTCTGCAGTTGTTGTTGTTGTTGTTGTTGTTTTTAGTCGTGTCTGACTCTTCATGACCCCATGGACCAGAACACACCAGGCACTCCTGTCTTCCACTGCCTCCTGCAGTTTGGTCAAACTCATGTTCGTAGCTTCCAGAACACTGTCCAACCATCTTGTCCTCTGTTGTCCCCTTCTCCTTGTGCCTTCCATCTTTCCCAGCATCAGGGTCTTTTCCACGGAGTCTTCTCTTCTCATGAGGTGGCCAAAGTCTTGAAGCCTCAGCTTCAGGATCTGTCCTTCCAGTGAGCACTCAGGGCTGATTTCCTTCAGAATGGATAGTGTAATGGTTCTAGGGGTTGCTCGTGTGTAAATCGGCGCCACACCTGGCTGGGTTGCCTGAGTGAACCCTTTCTGTCTGGACAGCCACTCGCCCGTGGCTGTCTCAATCGCTGGCAGAATCCGTCAGTGGGCGTTTCTTGAACTTCTTCCAGCAAAGAGGCTCTTTGACGCCTAGTCTCCGCCTAGTCTCCCTGCGCGGAAGCCTTCTGCGCAGGGAGGGTGTGGGCAGCGGAGGACCCGTGCTCTCCCCGCTGGTCCCCGGCGAGGAGTCATGGAGCCACCTTGCCAATTCCCCCATCTGCCCCCCTCCTCCACTGGTGCTACGCTGATTTCCTTCCCCAGAAGATGTGCTGCTTCTCTCCCTCCCGGGACCCTCTCCGGAACCCCTCTGGAGCCCTCCCTCTCCCTCTGGCTCCGATGGCAGTTCCCTGACAGATAGGTTTGATCTTCTTGCAGTCCATGGGACTCTCCAGAGTCTCCTCCAGCACCATAATTCAAAAACATCAATTCTTTGGCGATCAGCCTTCTTTACTTCCCTACATCACTACTGGGAAAACTATAGCTTTAACTATACGGACCTTTGTCAGCAAGGTGATTTCTCTGCTTTTTAAGATGCTGTCTAGGCTTGTCATTGCTTTTCTCCCAAGAAGCAGGCGTCTTTTAATTTCATGACTACTATCACCGGCAAGCCACTCCAGTATCCCTGCCAAGAAAACTCCATGGACAAAAACGCACTTCATAATCATATCAAATAGGTTTTCTTTGTCTCATACATTCTCCCATGAGCCTTGTCAGTTAAATGGCTCGTTCCCATTTTACAGACAGAGGGAATGTCAACTGAGGTATCATGACTTGCCCACTGACTACATACCAAGTTGTGTTCATTCCTGGCTCATCCACATTGCTTTTTATCCCCGTGGTGCTGTGGGTTGAACACAGAGCCTAGGACTTGCTGATCAGAAGGTCGGCGGTTCAAATCCCTGCAATGGGGTGAGCTCCCGTTGCTCAGTCCCTGCTCCTGCCAACCTAGCAGTTGGAAAGCACGTCAAAGTGCATGTAGATAAATAGGTACTGCTCCGGTGGGAAGGTAAACAGCTTTTCCGTGTGCTGCTCTGGTTCACCAGAAGCGGCTTAGTCATGCTGGCCCATGACCTGGAAGCTGTACGCCGGCTCCCTCGGCCACTAAAGCAAGATGAGCGCTGCAACCCCAGAGTCAGCCATGACTGGACCTAATGGTCAGGGGTCCCTTTACCTTTACATGCAGAAAAAGGACATAGTTAGCCCAGCTTGGGCACTGCCACTTCTACTCCTCCTGCAGTCAGTGCCACAAAGTTGTCTTGCAGAAAAAAGGGGAAAACATTCGTACAAATAAACAACCTACGAAGGAGCACCACACGGGTGATGACAGAAGAGAGTAGAGCCAGCCTCTTCATTTCTATGTGCAATGCTTTTGTGCCAGTTGACACACAAATGGTGCATGACAGAAACAGATCATGTCCAAGAATGCATACTTTCAAACTAAAATCATTGAATTGTCACTGGCAGATGGTGTTTGGGGGATTGGTTTTGGTTACACACATCTATGAACAGTTTATCCTCGCTTTTTAAATTCCAGACGTCCTGTTATCCCACTCATCCCATGTTACAAAATATATGATAGGGAAGTTAAAAACCCTTTTGCACCAGAAGGGTTCAACTAGTCCAAGACTAAGGCTGAAATCTCATGCATCCTCCCTTCAGAGTAATTCCCAGAGAGCTCAGGATTTGCTTCCAAGTAAATGACCACAGAGCCTAGGGCTTGCCGATCAGAAGGTCAGCGGTTCGAATCCCCATGACAGGGTGAGCTCCCGTTGCTCGGTCCCTGCTCCTGCCAACCTAGCAGTTCAAAAGCATGTCAAAGTGCAAGTAGATAAATAGGTACTGCTCTGGCAGGAAGGTAAACGGCGTTTCTGTGCGCTGCTCTGGTTCGCCAGAAGCGGCTTAGTCATGCTGGCCACATGACTCGGAAGCTGTACGCCGGCTCCCTCGGCCAATAAAGCGAGATGAGCGCCGCAACCCCAGAGTCGGCCACGACTGGACCTAATGGTCAGGGGTCCCTTTACCCTTTACCTTTAAATGTTCACAGGGGGCAACATACTGTGAAAGTTAGAACTGGAACTGTCCAACCTACTTCAAGGCCACAAAATTGATCTGAGTAGGTGTTGGGATTCCAGGATAAGCCTGTCTACAAAACAAGTGATTTGACAGGGAAGCCCCATCCCTTAATTTGAGGTGAGTGAAGGCTGGTTGCGATTAGACCTGCGAAGGTAGCTTTTGATTTTCTGCCTCATTCTCAAAAAAAATTGAAAACTGCCCACATGCAGCATTGATAAGCAGCTTGGAAAAGAGACTGAGAGAAGATATGATAGCCATCTTCAAATATTTGTTCCCCCCTCCCCCCAAAAAATTATTGGTTTTCCAAATTTTTAACAAATACAACACAAAAACAAAACATAGAAGAAAAAAAACATAGAAAATTTCTTCCAATCAAAATCCAAGCTAATTTCCATTGTTAAGTGACTTCCTCAAATCCTTCCTGATTTTCATTAAATCTCATTTTAGCAATTTCCCAATACTCATTTTCTAATACAATTAACTAATCCAATTTACTAACTTCCTTCCTTTTCATCATAATCTCAATCCATAGTATTATACAATTCAACATATCTTAATCCTAAACCAATTTAATGCTTGCAAGTATTTCCACTTATATAATATTACAATATTTAGTTAAATAATCCTTAAATTTCTTCTAGTCTTCTTGATATTTCCCCTCTCTCTGATCGCAGATTCTTCCAGTAAGGTTGGCTAGCTCCACAAAGTCCAACATCTTCATCTGCCAGCCATCTTCAAATATCTCAAGGGCTGTCACATGGAAGAGGGAACAAGCTTGTTGTCTCCTGCTCCGAAAGCTGGGACCCAAACCAATGGCTTCAAGTTACAAGAAAGGAGATTGTGACTAAACATCAGGAAGAACTTTCTGATCGCAAGAGCTGTTCTGCACTAGAATGGACTCCCTAAGGAGGTAATAGAATCTCCTTCCTTGGAGGTTTTTAAGAAGAGTTTGGATGGCCATCTGTCATGGATGCTTTACTTGAGATTCCTGCATTGCAGGGGGTTGGACTTTCTTCTTCTTCTTCTTCTTCTTCTTCTTCTTCTTCTTCTTCTTCTTCTTTATACCCCACCCATCTGGCTGGGTTTCCCCAGCCACTCTGGGCGGCTTCCAACAAAACACTAAAATACAATAACCTATTACACATTAAAAGCTTCCCTAAATAGTTTGGTAGTTATTTTTGACATCTGGTGGGAGGGTGTTCCACAGGGCGGGTGTCACTACTGAGGCAGCGAGGTAACCGGCAGAAGGCCCTTGGTGCTGGACATTAGTGTCCGAGCAGTGTCCAGGGTCCCTTCCAACTCTACAATTCTATGATACCACACATAATTAATAAATTTATACACTGCTTAATGCCAAAATAGGCTTCTAATCACTTTGCAAATATAAAAACCAGCTACAGTCACACCTCATGTTACGTCCACTTCATGTTACGTTCTTTCTTTTTCATACAGAAACACACAATTTTTATTAATTTTACATATAATCACAACACGTAACATCGTATCCTTTTATTAAATCTCTTGGCTCAACTGAGCCTAAACGACTTCCCTCCCTCCCGCCTAATGGTTTACAAAATTACCGTAATTTTTGCTCTATAAAACTCACTTTTTCTCTCCTAAAAAGTAAGGGGAAATGTGTGTGCGTCTTATGGAGCAAGTGCAGGCTGTGCAGCTGTCACAGAAGCCAGAACAGCAAGAGGGATCGCTGCTTTCACTGTGCAGCGATCCCTCTTGCTTTTCTGGCTTCTGAGATTCAGAATATTTTTTTTCTTGTTTTCCTCCTCCAAAAACTAGGTGCGTCTTGTGGTCTGGTTCGTCTTACAGAGCGAAAAATACGGTAAATTTTCCTTTTTTGCATTTCACTTGCTTTCCTATTCTTGCTATATTATTACTTAAGGTATTAAATTACTCAACCTGAATAGGTAACTGGTTCATCTTACAACTCTTCAGATAACCCTGCTAAGGATGTTAATTGGTTACCGTTTTCTTTTCAAATATAATATAAATTTATTCCAGGCTTTTCGGAATGCTTGGTCTTGCTGGTTCCAGACTCTTCCCGTCAGTTTCGCCAGTTCTGCAAAGTCCATCATTTTCATCTGCCACTCTTCTTTTCTGGTACTTCATGCTGTTTCCATTTCTGGGCTAATAAATGTTTTTCTCTTTATAAATCCATATATAAATATAATATATATATATTATAATATATATAAATATAATATCCATATATAAATATAATTTATATATGGTGGAACACCAATAAGAATGGGGTGTCTTTTCAGCAGGGAGTGCTGATTTGGCTTCGGTTTCACCCATGCATTCCTGATAGCCCCTTCACATGTCAGATACACACCAAGTGAAGGGAATTTGATTCCCTCCTTCAAA